ATATAAGATTTTGTACATATTTTAGACTTCCTGGCTCCAGCCCCCTTAAATGCATCTATATGACCCAAGGTTAGGACCTTGTTGCCTTAAAGAACCAAACCCAGCAGTTGTTATTTGTGATGGTGGTGACATAATTCCTGAGAGCATCTTCTTGGCTTCAGGACCTGCCTATAGCAGAGTCGGAAGACAACTCCTTACCTAAGGGATTTTAGTAACAGCCTCCCCTCTCAGGGCAGAAGTCTCCTAAGAGGACATTGCTAATCATGCAGACACTCTCGTCCATGCTGCAGTTACCAAAGTGCCTGCTCTCCTCCTCATGGCACGTCCACCACATCTGATGGGTCATGGGTTATGGGATCAGGCAGCCACTCCTCTCTGGAGCCCCTGAGACTAGGCTCAGGCCCCCTGGCATCTCTGCCCTCCTTCTGCCTAGGGTGAGATGGGCTCCTTCTCTGCAGCCTCCCCGCATTAAATCGAGCGCCCCCTGCAGGCCAGGGCTGGGCTGCATCCATCCCCTTTCTCAGAGCCTGCTGCAAGGTTGGGGTGCAGCAGATATCATTTGTTTTGCACAGGATTGTTGATCTCGGGGGTCAGGCACCATCTTTACATGTCCTGGAAAAAAAAATCCTCAGCTTGGGTGAAGTTTATAAGAATTAAAAATAATAATGACTTTAATATATTGAGCATCTGTTCTATTCCAGGCCTCCTGTTATTTCTTTAAGTCCTTTTTCATAATCCTGTGAGGTGAGTTTTAAATAGCCCATGGTCCGGGTGAGGGGGTGGAGGTGTAGAGATGCCAGGCCCAGGGTCTCAGGGCTGCAGGGGGTGGGTTGGAGACTCCAGCTAGGCTCACTCCAATGGTAAGAACAGCTAACTTTTCCTGAGCCCTTACCATGTGCCAGCAACCATTTGCCATAAGGGCGTTATATGAATTATTTCATTTAATTTTGATAATTTTCTTTATGGAGAAGAGACTACCATTATTTTCATTTTATAGGTGAGAAAACCAAGGCTCAGTGAGGTGAATTATCTGTTTTTCCCAAGGTTTCATGGTTAAAAGAGGTGGTGCCCAGATTCAAGTTCAAATCATTCTTCCTTTAGAACTTGCACCTTCACTCACTCGGCACTTTGCCGAAGTGGAAAAGTGCGGTAGGAACCAGGAGAACTCCTCCAGGGGTCATGCCTTTGGGTTGACAGCCTGCTGAGTCTGCAATGTCTGACTGTGTGCAAAGTCTGACTCTGTGCCCTCCTGTGACACAAGAGGCCCAGACTGTCCCAATGTGTTGGCGTGCTGGGAGAGAAGAAAGCTGGGTGCCTATACCTGCAACCTGAATAAGTCAGTGCCCTGGAAAGGGTAGATTTTGCAAACCTCAGAGGAGAAAGAGAGCACCCAGGTAGGGGCACGGATGGCTTTACCAAGCAAGTGGAATTAAATGAGCCTGATCTACCTGAATTTGAATCCCAGCTAGCTGAGTGACCTTGAAGAAGTTACCTAACTTCTCTGAACCTGAATTTTGCCACGTGTAAAATGGAGATAATGAAATAATAATATATAAAGTGCTTAGAACACAGGAAGCCCTATATTATATACTTATATACTCTTTTCATGATCAAGGACTGGTGGACTTTCAATAGCTGAAGACGGGAAGCTAAAGGCACCAAGTGAATGTCAAGAGTAAAACTTCCGAGTCCAGAAAACAGAGGGTGTTTTCTGAAATAATAAATAGCTCAGCTTGGCTGGTTCATACGGGAGCAATAGAAGTTGAGGCTGAAAAGAGAGGCCAGGTTGATGAGCACATGCTTAACTCAATAGGCAATAGGGAGTCCTTGAGGGTTTTTGAGCAGGGGAGTGTCATAGCTGGAGCTGGATTTTAGAGAGATATCTTGGCTGCAGAGTGTACAGTGGATTGGAATGGGACTGATGGGGGGAAATCCCAGTCGAAAACGATTGTCATCAGCCAGGGGAGAAGGTGGTGGCAGCTGGCAGGGCAGGAAAGTGTGAATTGGCACTCGTGGCAGGGGAGGTCCTCCAGAGCTTGGCGCTCTGTAGACTCGGTGCTGCTTGGGGTGTGTACGACACACACCCTTGGCCGAGGGCAGTGCGGCCCTGGTGCTCATGCAGGTTCGAGTGAGTGGCTGGGTTTTCCCTTTGCAGGCCCAGGCTTGGGAGGCTGTCCCTCTGGGCATCATGTCAGCACTGGTGTCTTTGTTCCAAGAAAGAGACAAAAGAAAGGTAGAGAAAGGGCAGACCAGCCTCCTTTCAGTCCTGAGAACCCGGGGTCCCTGGTATCCTCAGAGTGGAAAAGCCCTGTGATGGTCCAAAAACAGGTTCCAGAAGACTCACTCGGAAGGGAAAAAGGAGTCAGGCTCCTTTTGGGTTTTCATTTAGGCTTTTGAAAAGCAAAGCAGACTGGCGAGAGCCGCCTGTCTGAGGCGTGTTTTATCTTAACCTTTCCATGTAATCCTGAAAGCCCGCCTAATCAATTGAAGATCATAAAATATTAGACTTAATGCTGCAAAGTGCTGCTTTTTAATTCACATAACAAGCTCCTAAATAATTCAAATAGCAAACAGACCCGGCAAGTCAATGGTGGGAGGCTGCTTGGATCAGCGGGAGAGTGTCAACACATGCCACATTTCCCGGATCGACTCCATTTCAAGAACCCTATTAAGTTAATTGCCGGTTTCTGACAGCAGAGAGCATGCTGGGAGCACAGCAAGCTTTATTAGCCTCCGTGGCATCTGGAGACATCAGCCATTTTGCCCCTACTTGCAGGCACTGGGAGCCGCATGGAAAAAAGTAAATCAAATTATGAGACAATAAATGCTTTTGGCAACACGTGGGCATCAGATTCATTGGCGAATCCAGGAGTTTGGGTGTCACTTGTAGGCTTGTTAAATTTTTTACAGCAACACCGTCTATCTGTTGCAAAAGTCTCATAGGATGCCACAGAGTGGTTACATCATTTGGCACCAACTGCATGGCCGATGCAGGTAAACATTAGTGCAATTGAGAGGACCCCACCCCCTAAATAAACTCGTGGGTGGAGAGAGTCTTTATTAGAGCGGGAGTTGGGGTGGACATTTAGAGAGGCCTCAAATACCCCAGCTGTCCCCTGTAACCCACAAGTTACACATGCAGGTTTGTTAGCAGACCTGCCTAGATTTGGAGACCCAGTGGAGACACCCGCAGGGTTCTGGTGATGGTCGGAGATGGTCAGGGAAGGGAGGATGTGTGAAGTCAAGGTCCCCACCTTCTGTCCTTCTGGACGTTCCCAAGCAGGGCATTGCTTCCATGGCTTCCTGCTCTCCCCTTGGCCGTCCTGATATACACTGAGTGTGGAGTTGTGGGAGGGCATCCTGGCAGCTTGAAGATCCATCAACAGGTACCACGCAGCAGAGTGGGGCTCTGATACCTCCAATACCATTTTTGATACATGAGAAAACACAGGCAGAGAGAGATTCTGCGACTGTCCCAAGGTCACTCAGCCAGCCAGTTCTCTTCTGTTGCCTGACATCATCCCATTTCATGCTGTATCTCTTTCAAGTGTTATGGTGCCCACCTAGATTAGATCTGTTATAATCCTGGTTCAACCATTTATTGTCTGTGTGACCTTAACTTGAGCAAAATATATAATTTACTTGTATCTCAACCCTGTTGGCAGAATGAAGACAGGGTGCTTACCAGATGGGAATTTTATGGAGAGGATTGAATTAATGACGTATGTTAAGCGTTAAAGCTGCAAGCTCTATACCCAAGCTCTCAGCGTACTCTCCTCCCATCATCTGTGCCGGGGCTGCATCTGAGTGAGACACAGATGAGTAAGATTATTCGCGCTTCTAGGCTATTCTTTACAAACCAACACTCTTCCAATTGATTGGCTTTGCGCATCTGAATTCTTACATCGTTTACATACAGGGAGGCAGATCTTTTTCTTTCTCATTCTCATCTCTCCTTGCCCCAGTCCTGAGATCCAGCCTCAGTGTCTGCAGAAATGACACTTCTTCTGGAATCAGGCCCTTGATAAGATGGAAATACAATGGGAAAGACCCTTTGTGAATGATGGTCTGAGGAGGCTGGAGGCAAAATTGACAGCAAGTAGAGAAGTACAGCAAGTGGACAGACAGTTTGGATCCTGGTTCTCAGGCTCCGCTGCATTCATGGGGTTGCTGCGCTTTGATGCCAGAAGGGGTGTCAGAGATGGAGTCTGGCACCCCCATTTCATGGGTGAGGAAACTGAGGCTCAGAAAGAGGTGGAGACTAGTCTGAGATCACACAATGTGCTGATGACTGAGAATGATGACTTTTTGAATCAGAGAAAACTAGAGTTCGCTTTGGTCAGAGTTTTGTAACACACTTGGAGATAATTGGAAATGCCCCGGGATGCCGCAGGCCTAGGGTTGGAACCACCGTGCTGTCTGGGGCTCTTTGTTCGGGGATGGCAGCACTGATGAAATCAACAGTAATTCACACTGTCGGCGACTTGCGTCCCACATTGTCCCCTTTCAAAATATGGATATGTTTTATTTCTCTGGGTTTCTTCTGTTCATGACACACTTATTCTGTGAGTCTTCTGAGGTTGACTGGAGGATGACTGTCCTGTGCTGGAGGATTTAGATGACTCCTGGGCTGTAGAAGCAAACACAGACACCACCCATGTTGCAGGCCCTGTACGTGTGGCAGGTCATGTGATCCTCACAACAAGGAGAGGGATTATGATCCCATTTTTAGATAAAAAGTAGAGGCTCAGAGAGACCAAGCAACTTGCCCAGGACAACACAGCTAGTGCTATGGGCTGAATGTTTATGTCCCCTCCTCCCCACCCCACATATACTCTAATTCATATATTGTAGCCCCAAACCCCACTGTGATGGTGTTTGGAGGTGAGCCTTTGGGAGGTAATTAGGTTTGAATGAGGTCGTGAGGGTGGGGCCCCCATGATGGGACTGGTGCCCTTATAAGGGGACGAAGGTTGCTGAGCCCTCTCTTTCTCTGCCAGGTGAGGACACAGTGAGAAGGTGGCCATCTGCAAGCCAGGAAAACAGCTTTCATAGGACACAGGCCCTGCTGGCACCCTGATCTTGGACTTCCAGGCTCCAGACTGCGAGAAATAAGTGGCTGAGGTTTAAACCCTCAGTTTGTGGTATTTTTGTTGTTGCAGCCCAAGGGGATGAAGACAGCTGGTAAGTGTGAGAGCTGGGGGTCGTGCTTTCCATCACACCAGGGGGCGCTTGGTGGCTCCCAGCCGTCACACTCACCCTCCATTGCAGATCATGGCTCCTTGTGACAACAGGTGTCCCGGAGACCTCCAGGCATATGCTGTCTTCTAAAGTCTTTTCTTTTCTCCGCCTCCTCCTTCTTTCTCCTCAAGACCCTCCTCTCATCTTGGAAAGACCCCTGCAAAGTTGATGCAGGAATCCAGGCCCATCACCTGCCCTCCACCCAGGCTCAGCCAATCCCGTCTCCTTGCTGCGCCCCATGTGCTTCACGCTGTGGTCCAGCCCCCGTGCCCCCATCTCCGCCCATCAAGTTATGACCCACATCATCTGCAAACTAGGACCAGAGTCTGTGAATTGGAACAAAACCTAGGCTGTCCCCACCCCCGGCACGGGTCCCCAGCTCCGTGAGTGAAACCATGGACTCTGAGGATAGGAAGAAAAGCTCTCTTCTCACAGCCCCGGGAGGCGGACGAGCTGTGTGCGCAGCTGAGGCCCAGCCTCGCTCGGAGTTTCATATACATAATCTAAATATATACTTTGAAAATTGAAAAGTGCTCACGTATAGACTGTGGCTGCAGGGAGGGAGAGCTCTCTTTGAACATGTCTCTTTAAAGACAAAACTTGCCAAGTGTTTTCTTGCCCTCAAGGAGACACTTGAACGTGGCACCAGATGTAAAATGGAAATTGAAGTGTCTCTCCCAGGCCACCGTACACGTATAAAACCGGCACGGTCTATTCTGAGCGCTCATTAATAGCTGGTCTCTGAGGGCCCTGGCAGCAGCCAGAGGCTTTTACTCATTAAAAAGGTGGCGAGGTAGAGTTTTGTGGCTTCCCCGCTTCTCGCTGTGTGATCCTGGCGTTTAGATGTCGCCAGCAGGCCCCAAATGAGCGCCCCTCGATTGCTGGCATGAGTGACAATTTTCTGAAGGGTTCAGGAGTGCCACCCACTCGTGGATGGGGCAAGAAACCCTTGCTGTTTATCAAGTGGATATGTCTTTCCTCCAGGTGGGCCCACAACAGCATTATCTCAGGACAGACCCAGAGAGGACAAAGCTTTAGCTTGTCAGCTAGTACAGGATATTGGCGATTCTCAGCAGAGCATCGTGGTCCTCTCAGCACCACCGTAAATGACACAGAGCCCCCCGGGCATGGTCCTGGCAGGGAGGCCTGGGGTCCTCAGATGGGTCGGAAGGAACCAGACCCTTAGAATTGCAGGTGCTGACTGACAGCCCCCGGGCCTCACGGCCAGCAATGCCCACTTGTGGGAGCCGCTGGTTTATTTTAGAAAAAGAGAATCCCCGGCTTCTTTTTTTACACCCCACCTCCCTCTTTATTCTTTGTTTTGACTCTCCTACTGTTAGGATCAGCGTTTTGTCCTCTTCTCCCACTCTTGTGAGGGGAGTGACCCTGTCTTGTCCCCATCAGCACATCTGTGAGGATGCTGGACAGTTTTCCAGCATCCTGAGGGCTGCCTCTCCCCCCAGAACCTCCAGGTGGAGGCAGGAAACCTCAGTGGCCTCCACAGTTCTGCCTCTTCCACGTCCACGTCTCCTGCTCTGGACCTTTGCTTCTGGTCTCCTTGACTTGCTGCCGCTGTGCTTCTTGTGGCAGGCTCAGATGTCACGTCCTCTGAGAGGCCTTTCTTAATATGTCCCCTCCCCCTCCCCCCTCTGCTCACTGTTACATTAGAACAATTCGAAATGGCCTTGTTGACTGGTAGCTCCCTTGTTTTTTGTGGTCTCCGCACACTCCGAGGGTAGATCCGGGAGGGCGGGAACTTCCTGTCATGTTCACCTGCTTCCCCAGGTGCTCAGGGCCGTGCCTGACCCCCAGAGGTACTTGCTTCATTGAATGGGCCAAGAAACAAAGGAATGAATTGAAGGGTCCTTCTGTCCCCGAACCTGGTTCTTCATCACTCCCCTGGAGCAGCCCTTCGGGGACTTTCGTTGTGACCCTTAGTAGCTTTCTGGGCTGTGGTCCCCAACTCTTGCGGAGTTTCCTGCAGGAGCGCTACAGGGCTGTCCTACACGATGCACTAAGTCAGGGTCACCCCAAGGGACCAGAGCGGAGATGAAGACAAGACGAAGGTCATGGTATCGAGTTCCTGTAGGAATGTCTCCTTGTCTGTTTTTAATGGCTCAATTTCCAAACTGTGTTGAGAAATTCATTAATTTTTATCCTTTATCATCAGCAGGTAGAAAATGTATTATTTTTGAAATGTTAATAATAAATTGAGTTGTTTAAATTGAACTAAATTTCAAAGCTTTACAGCCTGATGTGTGCTCTGAGGGGCAGGAACAGGGTGATAATAATGGAAACCAGCTGGGCTGAGGCCGGGGTGCAACTGTAGGGGGCAGGGCTAGGGGAAGCCACTCTCGTGGAAATGTTATATGAAGGATGGGGAAGTTGCCATGTGAACGGCTGGGGAAGAGCATTCCTGGTGGGGGGAACAGCATGTGCAAAGGCCCCTTGATGTGCTGGAGGAATGGAGAAAAGCTGTGTGGCCGAGAACACCATAAACAGGAGGAGGGTCAGACAAGATTAATGTTGGAGAGGTAGGCAGGGGCTAGCTCCGTGGTTCCCAAGGGGAGTGGTATTGCCACTAGAGTTCATTTGGGATATTTGTTGCCGGGAGGTACCATATATTCAGTGAGTAGGCACCAAGGGAGCAAGGCTTCAATTAGGGCCTCTAACAGTCCTACAGAAAGACGGACTGGCCGGGGTCCTGCTGATTTGAGGATGTCCCAGGAGATACTCACGTAGGTGAATTTCCAGTGATCTGAGTCTGGTCATAACTCTTTTATTCATAGAAACAGAAAGTCATTTTAGCACAGTGTTAATTATATATTGAATTTTCTAGGAATGGAATTACTGTATAAATTAAGGGATGATTGCTCTGTGTTTTGTTTGGATCGTTACCAAGCGGTGTTCGCCATGTTGGGAAAATCACGTCACCCATGGCAACATCACCCTTGGTATCTGAGTCTCCAAAACAACACCCCTGTTGTCAGTCTGTGTTTCTAGCTGTGGCATTCAC